CTCTGGAGGACAGGCCTTCTGCCTGCTGGGGCGCACGGAGCGGGGATGGTCGGTCTCACTGACATCTCCTTGATGTCCCTGCGTTCTCTGGCTGGAACTGTAGTGGGCGCGAAGAGGTCTCGCGCTCTCACCTCGCGAATAGACACGCAAAGGGGCAAGTTGTTGATCAGATGCTTGATGCGGCCATCCCGCAGCTGATGAAACATGCCTCGCCCGCGCTCCTGCAGCGCGCTTGGTCCAGCATCCGTGATCAGTTTGAGATGGGAAAGACTTGGCACGTGTGCAAAGGGCTCACATACGCCGTGCCCCTGGCATTGTACCAACTTGGCTCGTTGACGCTGTCAGCTCACATTGTTGTAGATGACCCCGGCGGTTCGCACCCCCTCCTTCACGTCTCCCCTTTCCAACTCCGAGAGCTGCTGAGGCCAAGGATCGTCCGTTGGCAAGCGACCCGTATGCTGCAACACTTTCCAGCAACTGACGGTTCGGAGGCTGTCTGGATGCGAGGTCTGCGCCGCGGAGTCTTAGGCGCGCGCGATAGCAAGAAGCTGGGGGCTGCTAAAGTGCCTTGTTGGATGCTGTAGGGGCCCCTTGTTAGGCGGCACCAGGCTGGTTTCTCTGATTCGGGTGCGTGCTCTTCTTGCTCCGCTGGGGCCAAGGGCACCGCATGTCACCAGCTGTACGATTGTGATGGCGTTCTAGGTCCCCCTGGTAACCAGGGGCAGTGTTATCCTGAGGAAGTGTTGGAGATGCGGCTCACAGGGACAGAAGTCAGAGTGAGGGGGCCCAACGGTCTTTCATTGCCCCTGGGTGCGTGGCTGAAGTGGGCTTCCGCGGTGCGGATTGTTGCTGCTGAATTCTCATCTCGAAAAAATATTGTTTGTTGGCCCCCCCTCTGGGGCACATACTGCGTTTTCAATTGAAGTGCCCTTCCTGGGGCTCGCACACTGTTTTTGTTTTCAGGGAAAGCCTTGAATCTCAGAATTGTGTTGTTGGGCCCCAGGTTATAGCAACAGCGGCTCCCGCCTGATATTTCCTCACAAGTCATTCCCAAATCGGCGCTCTCGCGCGGGACCCCCTCACAATGTATGCAGGAATCGCACTCTCGCGTGGGACTTCCTCGCAATGTATTCAGACGCCGCGCCCTCGACACTCAGGGTTTGTGCTCTCGCTTCGGATTTCCTCACGATGTATTGAGGAATCGCGCTATCGCTCGAGACTTCTCGCGATTCATGCAGGACGCACGCTTCAGCAACCCGCCTGCTCGACCTGGCCGCCTGGGCCGGCCTTCCCGACCCGCCCGTTTGGGTCTATCCGCCCGACCTGCCCGTCTGGCTCTGTCACGTGTTTTCGGCTCCTAGCCCCCCCTCCTACTATTCTCTCTAATGCTTGATCCTCCTCCTTCCCCCCTTGTCCCTTCCTTCCGTCCGTCCTCTCTTCCCCTGCCTTAGGAGCTGCGCGAAATACACGCTTCGGGTAAGAAAGATATATACCCTCAAGGGGGTACGATCGAAGACGAAAAGAGCGGGTATCGAGGGTTTGGGATACACGTGTTAAGTGGCACGCGAGCTGATAAGAGCGAGCAGTCTTAAACTGAGTAGTGTTGGTATTGCTGGTGGTGGTATGGATTGCTGTTGATGATATTGTTGGTGCTGGCGTTGCTGTTGTTGTTGGTGGTGGTGTTGGTGTTGGTGGTGCTGTTGTTGTTGCTGCTACTGTTGTTGGTGTTGTTGGTATTGTTGTTGGTGTTGTTGTGATTGCTGTTGTTGGTGTTGTTGCGGTTGCTGGTGGTGGTGGTGTTGTCGTTGCTGTTGGTGTTGTTGGTGGTGGTGTTGTTTGTTGATGTTTGATGTCATCGTCCCGCCCGCGACCAAGCCAGCGACCCACCCGCGACCCGCCCGCGACCCACCCGCGACCCACCCGCGACCCACCCCGCGACCCACCCCGCGACCCACCCCGCGACCCACCCCGCGACCCCCCCCCCGCGACCCCCCCCCCCGCGACCCCCCCGCGCTCCGCGCCCGCCCCCATCACTCTTCTCCGCAGCCTGCGGGGTGCTGTGCGCAGCTCCTGGGCCAGGCCGCCCCCCACCGACGGGGCACACCGTGGAGCCCGCCCTGCGGGCTCCCGCTCGAGCGCGCGCGCAAGGCTGCCCCCGGGGCCGCGAGGGTGCCCCCGTGCTCTCCTGGGGCCCTGCCCATGGGCCCTCTGGGCGGCGCATCCTCACGGACGGCTCGGGGCTGGCCAGCACAGACGAGCGCATCCCACCACAGCCGGGGCGTTGACCTGAGAGAACCCTAAAGAAGGAACGAGGCCGTTTTTTCCCACAAGTGAAACTTCGACTTCCCATCGAAAACATAAGGAAAACCTGAGGCAAGCTGTGAAACAAACAAGGAACACCGAGCCCCTCCCCAACGAAAAAGGGTTCCTTCTTCAGCGCCCCGACTGTACTCGCACGGTAGCTACTCGCAAAGGGCCCGCCTCCGCCGCGGGCGGTTCGCGATCCTCTACCTCCAGGCGATCCGCTGCTTCGTCGAACGTCTGCAAGTAGCCCCACTTCGCGAGTCGTGGAACGCGCTCGGTGACGACGGCAGCCCCGCACTCCGTCGGCGTGCGCGGGCCGCGGCGGAGCTGGGGCGGCTCGGTGGCCCCCCCGCTCGAGCGGTCCACGGAGCCCTCCCTGGGCGGGCACAGCCGAACGGAGCGCTGGGCGCTGCAGCGGGCTCTCGGGCACGGCCCGCGGGGCGCACGGGTGGTGTCTGCCCGCTCGGGCGCAGTACGCAGAGGCAGCGGCTGGGCCCAAGGACCTGGCGTCTGCCCGTGGCCCGCACGCCTCCACGGGCAGCCGCGCGTTCGGCTTGCATCGCGAGGCCGACCTGCGCCCGGGCTCTGCCCGGACCCCCGCCCACGGGATGTGGGAAGACTTGGCGCAGGACGGAGCAAGAGAATTCGATGCAGACTGTTTCATCGGCATTGGGTGGGCTGACTTCTTCGCTCGTGTTGGTACCGAGTCCGTTGCTGCTCCCAAGTCGATGGTAGATTTTCAGTCGGAGCATGTGTAGCAGATACAGTTGCAGTTCGACTTCACTACTCGGTTCAACCAGTCAGTTGCCGAAATGGCGGAAGGGAGTGACTCGACCCCATCCCGCCCGAGTGGCTCTTCGGGTCCCAGTGGTGCGCCGCGGGCGGGTTTCGTAGGTAGCAAGGCTGTGCTAGTGGAGCATGAACTGTTCCATATCCCCTCGAGATGAGAATGGCGATGCAAAGCTTGTAATCTGAAGGCTCGCACGGGGACCTCCCTGTTGCAGCTTCGATCGCGGAGTCGTCGAACGTGGGTGCCGGGTGCTGTGCAGGAATGGCAAACGAGTGAGTGATTTCAGATGTCCGGCTCTGAAGCCGTGCCTGTGGCTTGCGAGTCGGTGCGTGTGGCGCTGCGCTTCGCAGATGAAATCCTGGGCCCCGAATCCGACCCCTCGCCGCCAACTGCTCGGGCGGCGCGCTCGAAAACTGTGGGGCCTGCCAGCATGCTATGGAGCGGGCCGGTCGTGTCGTTTTCTGTTCGTCTTGCTCGGGCGATGGCATCCTGCCTGATGGCATGGCTCGGGGGTTGCAGGCGCCGTGCAAGGGCCGTCGCAACCATCCAGGCACCCGAGACCCTCAGGTGCTCAAGAGAAAGCATGCCTCGAGGGGTCCCAACCCCGAGACAGGGGATAAGACTGTGTGATCTGCGGCAGCCTCACACGCCTGGTCCCAGGTGGTGCCGCTCATTGGCGTGCCACGCCAGCGGGGCCTCCCGCGTGCCAGGCTGAGGGCGGTCCGGTCTTCTTCTCGCTTCTGTTCCCTGCCGCCTCTCGGCGTGCAGGCTCGCGGTGCTGGTGGCGTTGTATCCTCAGGCATCACTGCCCATCCAGCTGACAGCCAGTCCTGGCCGAGGGGTGTCCCAGCCTGGGGCGAGTTCTTCCGATACTGGTCGGGCCTCTTCCTGTCGCATCTTTTATCTCGGCACTTCACCTCATACGCTGTGGCGTGTTTCTTCCAACGGCCCTGGCCACTTGTGCTCGGACCCCTGGTGGCGGGTCCCCCTCTCGTGGGGGTCCTGGCTCCGTGTGGTGGCCCTGCGGTCCCACAAGCGATGCGTTTGCGAGGGGGGCACGGGCACGAGCGTCTGCGTGTGCGCGAGTGTTGCACGAGTGTCAGGCACCCCGGATGCCGCACCACGCGGAGGCTTCGAGTCACAGGGGAAAGTTGGAGCGCACACGTTCTTCATCGAACATTCTGCTTCAGTTGGCCTTGCTCGTATGTACTGGGGAGGGGGCCTGCGGACGTCGGGCGTGGCCGCCTGGCCACGTTGCCTCGCCGCAAACATGTGGATGGCCACCCCCCTGCTCACGGTTGGCGCTGAGTTTCATGCCGTGCCACGCCGTGCCAGGCTGCGTGCGCCGTCAATCGACAGCGTGTGCGCCGCCATCTTGCTGTGCCACGCCGCTTGCGAACCGCTCTTGCCAAGGGCTTGCGCGCCTCCTCCGCCTCCTCCTCCTCCTCCTCCTCCTCCTCCTCATCATCATCATCATCATCATCATCATCCGCCTCCGCCTCCTCCTCCTCCTCCGCCTCCTCCGCCTCCTCCTCCTCCTCCTCCTCCTCCTCCTCATCATCATCATCATCATCATCATCATCATCATCATCATCATCATCATCATCATCATCATCATCATCATCATCATCTCATCATCATCATCATCATCATCATCATCATCATCATCATCTCCATCCCCTCCTCCTCCCCCTTTTCTTTCTCTTCCTCCGCATCCCCCCTCCTCCTCCTCCTCCTCCTCCTCCTCCTCCTCCTCCTCCTCCTCCTCCTCCTCCTCCTCCTCCTCATCCTTTTCCTTCTCTTCCTCCGCATCCCTCCTCGTCCCTCCTTCTCCCTCCCTTCCCTGCCTCCCCTGCCGCTGGCCCGGCAGGGCGCGGGAGCGTGCCCCCGCGCCCACCCCGCACGCCTGGCGGGCCGCGAAGGGGACGGCGGCCAGCGCGCACCCGGCGCTCATGACCTCGTCCCTGTCCATGTAGCCGCCTCCGGGGCAGCATCGGCCAGCACCGGATCGCGAAGTCGGATCGTGATGGGCTTGTTTTCCACCACCACCACCATAAGTTGGAGGGGGGAAGGACCTGGAGGACGAGGAGGAGGAGGTGGACGAGAAAGACGAGGAAGAAAAAACGGAGGAGAGGAGGAGGACCCCCTCCCCCTCCAACTTATGGTGGTGGTGGTGGTGGAAAATAGGCCCAGCAGATCGAGCCTGAGCGAGCACTGAAGCGGGCCGCAGCGGCTTGGAGTCGAAGCCGAATCTGGAGCGGCGGCGCACAGATGCGGCACTGCGCTGTGCAAGGCTGGGGCCGCGTCGGATCCCCAGGGAGCAGAGATCGAATCGGATGGAGCCGAAGGACATCGACGCCGGATCGGATCGATCGAATCGCCATGGGCCATGCAGGGACGGTGCACGGCAGGCTCGTGCCGCGACGACCCGGGCATCGGCTTCCGGCCCTGTGCGAATCATTCCGCCCTGGGCGATCGCGGACATTGGCCGACTCTGGGCCACGGGCGGCGATCCACCTCGAACGCCTGCGCTCGGGTCGCCGCCGCGCCGACGCGGCGCGAGACTGCGGCAGCACGGCACACCTCCATCGCTGCACCGACCTCGCAGACGTGCACCTTGCACCGACCGCTGCGTGGACTTCTGTCAACGCTAAACCCCGAAACGGCGAGCGAAAAACGAAGCGAATTTCACGAAGATTCCTTGTAATCTTCATTCCTGGCCAACAGAAATCCGCGAGAAATTCACCTCGAAAAATCCGGAACGAAACTCTCCAGGACAATCCAGGCCCGTCCCTCTGTTTTTCTCACGACATCCGCTCTGCGACGTTGGCGCCATGAGGATGCCATGACAATGGACACTCTAACAATCCGATCATTGAATTCACAATGTGTTTGAAATGGTTGGAAATGTTCTACAAATTGTAAATACATGGCTTTTACATGTTTATGTCTAAAACATGTTTTAGACATCTGGAATTATTTGGCAACACGCTTCCTCTCCATCGATCGACTTCCGCAACGCCCTGACACCTCCAGGCAGCACCCACGGTCACAGCCGCTGCACACGCAGAAGGCATCGACGCACCACCCCCAGGACTCGCCAGGGCCCCCTGGCACGGCAGCAAAACATGCACACGCCCCGCGGGCCGAGGCGCCGGGAGGGAGTGTGCCTGTGTGTACACCGGTCTCCCCCTCCCCCGCCGCCGTCGTCGGGCGCCTCCTCCTCCTCCTCCCACTCGTGCATCGCGGCTTCATTCGCACCTGTTCGTCCAGCATCTGCCCGTCCGCCAGCGCAGTCACTCTGCCTAGCCGCCGACACAAAAGAGTGAATATTTGCTATTCTTCGTCCATACCCCCTGTAGGAGAGCCATTCCCGACCTAACCCTACCCAAACATCCAATGGACAGCGGCATAAAAACGGCAGCAGGCAAGCGGCGTGCGCGCGCGGCAGAGACGCGAGGAGGAAAAGCGGGGAGTCGAATTCTGCTTCACCTGCGTGAGCCCGAGCTTTCAGTCCGCGGTCCCCAGAGGTCTCGACCACTTCCTCGAGGGTACGATTTTTCGTCCTGGACCCTTCTGTGTGTGGCCCTGTGGCCCGAAAGCGGCCCTAGGAGGCCGAGATCGAAGAAAAGCTCCCCCCGAGATTGATTGTCTCGCTACCGCGGCTCAGTGCAGCGAGCTGCACGGGTCGGGGTCGATGGGCGCCTGAGTCCCAACCCAGCCTGCCCTGAGGCGGACTCGCGCATCGCACAAACTGTCCCTGGAGGTGGTGGGGAGGGCGGATGGATAAACGAACGCACCGGAGAGAAGGAAGCGGAGGACGAGCAAAATGCCTCAGAGGACACGGGGAGGGAGCCACGCCAGCGCGCGACGATCCCCCCGAAGCCCGCTTCCCCCCCCCCATTCCGATCAAGACCGAGTGCCGTGGCACAGCTACACGTTGGGACAAATCGAAATCCGCCCGAAGCCTGGGTATAGAAAACGGCGGATGTGGATGCGAGGCGGGGATTGATCCATTGCCACCGCCTGGGAACCGACGTCCTGGTGCCCCAGCGGGCGGCCCCCGGGGAAACCCGAATATGTCCACATCCACCGCCTGCCGAGGCTCCGAAAACCGACCCTCCAGGCGGTGGATGTGGATCAATTCCCGCCTCGGAGTGGATGCCCTCCCGCCCCCCGACGCCCGAAGTCTGGCCACAGAGAACGGTGGATGCGGAGGAGGAGGAGGAGGAGGAGGAGGAGGAAGAGGAGGAGGAGGAGGAGGAGGGGGAGGAGGAGGAGGAGGAGGAGTAGGAGGAGGAGGAGGAGGAGGAGGAGGAGGAGGGAGGAGGAGAGGAGGAGGGGAGGAGGAGGAGGAGGAGGAACGGTGGATGTGGATGCCCTCCCGCCCCCCGGACGCCCGAAAACTGGGCACCGAGAGCGGTGGCTGCGGATGCCCTCCCGCGCCCCCCCCCCCGACGGCGGCCGGGCGTCCTCGCCCCCACCGCTCCTCCGATGGGGGGGGGGGTCCTCGGGAGCCTCGCCGGGCCGCCCAGCCTTCGCTCGGGCATGCCCCCCGACCGGGGGGGGGGTTGGATGAGAAATGGAAAGTACCCCCCAAAAAAATACCCCAAAACAGCAAACTTGTGCTCAAAAATTATTGTTTTACTATTTTTGCTCAAAAACTGTCCAATTCCTAATTTTTCTTTTTTTTTCGAACAAAAAAAAAAAAAAAAAAAAAAAAAAAAAAAAAACGTCCCCAGAGACAGGCCCGCCTTAAGCCCAGCCCCGCGCGGCGCGCCGCGCGGGGCGCGCGGCCGCCTTCGCGCCCCCGCGCGCTTCCCCCGCCCGAGAGAGGGGGGCCGCCCCCCGCTCGACGAGAGGGAAGACGCCGCCGCGGGCGACGCAGACCGCGGCCCGGCGCCACGGGGAGAGAAGCGCCGACGGGAGGCTGACTACCTACCAGACCGCCCCGACCCAACCCGAAGGCCCGAACTTCGTGTTCGGGGGGGTAAGGGTTCCACCTGTGCTTTTCCGATGTTCCGCGACCCCCCCCACCCCCCACCACTGGAAGTGGAGGGCAGATTGAGGCCTTCGGGTTGGCTTGGGGTGGCCCGGTGGGTGGTGAGAGACGGTGAGGAGAGCACGACCGTGTCGCACTCTCCTCGGCTGTGTTCGGCCGTCTCTCGGCGGTCTCTCGGCGGTCTCACGTGGTCTTTCGGCGATCTTCGGCGGTCTGGGCGGCGGCCCGCCACGGTCTCCGGCGGCCATCGGTGTGAAAGCAGGATATTTCGCGTTGACAAGGGGTCCGTGATCGAACGCCTAACGACACGACTCCACGCATGGGCACCTGATGCTGAATCGACGGAGGCCTCGAGGCTGCAGTGAGTCACTCGGATCTGACTCGACCTGGCCAGAATACGGACCCGAAGAAAAAAGCCAGGTGCTACCAAAATTGGGAGCTCTTCCTTGGAACATCAGGGAACACTGAATACACACTGCAATACAGAAGACCACAATGACCTCACGACAATCTAAAATCTGAGAAATGGGCTGAGCATGAGGGGGATATGCTGTCACATATTGCATTATGGTTTGATTTGCTGCTTTCAGTGTCTGCGTAGTTTCGCACTGCAGCGCGGCACGTTTCACTATTCGCGTTCATGTTTTGCGTATTGCATTGTTATATTCCGGATCGCGTTAATGAGCACTACTCTACGTTAAACGTGATTACATCGTATCGCACAACGTTGTCTTTATATCATATTGCATGTGCTGTTCTGGTCGCAGCCGCAGCTGCGTCTTCATGTGCATCGAATTGTTTGTATCAAGGTATCCGGCATCGCCACCCTGGCACTGGGGAGACAGGACTCACTACAGGCAACAGCAGTCGGGGACTGGGAGGGGTTAGGATAAGGACAAGAAAGGAGGAGCAGGAGGCGGAGGAGGAGGAGGAGAGGGGAGGAAGAGAGCGAACAGAGGGGCGAGTAAGTTCGTCAGAGGATCCTCGTAGCTCTAAAGCTTCCAGATCGGAGTATCAGCTTCAGAATTAAACGACTACAGGCTCCAACCCAAAGGTGCGAGATGAGGGAGAGGACGAACGAAGAAAGACGACGAAGAAAAAGACGGACAAAGATAAAGGGACAAAGAAGGAGGCAGGAGGGAGGAGGGAGGATGAGAGAAAGGGCGGGA